GGGGCAGAGGGGGGAGGGAGGGGGGGCTTCAGATTGGAGATAGCAGCGCGCATCGAGCGTGCAACCAAGCTGAAAATCATCAACGCTTTACCTGGCGGCGGCCTGTGTGTGGCACGCACGCTGCGCACGCACGCTGCGCACGCACGCCGGCGAGCATTAGCACGCGTTATGGCTGTAGCGTCGTTATACGCCCTGCCGCGCCGCCCCCCGGGGGGCGGGCATGCGCGGCACGCAGAAGACCCTCGGTACTGTACCGGCTGGGCGGGGCGGGGCGGCCGCCAACTGGAGAGAGGGATGCGCGGCCCCGCGCCCCGCGCCGCGCCAGACGGACGGACAGCAGGGCGTTGGGGAGGCGCCTGCAGCGCTGCACTGCTGATCGCGCGGCGCCGCGGGGCTGCTCGCGCCTCCTCCCCCCGGCGGCGGATCGTGATGCTGCGTGCAGCGACTCTAACAGGTGTCTTCCTAATCACCTGCGCGCTCCTCGCGCTGCCCGTCGGCCCCGCGGGTAGAGGCGGTCCCGTGTAGCGCCGACGTCAAGCACCGCCACGAAACGCGTCAGGCAAAATAAGGCAAACTCTTGATGTGCTTGGCGTACTGCGACGGAAGCCCTCTCGGCAGTAAGCGGCAGGGCGCGCTGCTGGTGTGTGCCACCGACACGGCACCGACCCGACCCGGTGCCAGGCCGCCGCCGTCCGAGCCCCCGGGGATGCCGACCAGGACATGCTAATGAAGGCCCAGACCGTGCACGTGCACGAGGAAGAGGCACTTTGTTTTACATGAGTGGCATCGGCAGGTTGGGGTCGGGTCGGGCTGCGCGCCTAGGCAGGCAGCCTGGCGGCCTTATCGGATGCGCCGCCGCCCCGCCCCGCCTTCCTCCTCGCTCTGGGGGCCTAACGCCACGCCACGCCACGACGCGCAGCCCGCGCCCGGCAAAAAGCGCGCTCGCGGCCGAAATGGCGGGAAGTGCCCCAGAGTGTACAGTGCGCTCATATCGGGGAGCTGCCAGGCTGGCGCTGCTGGGCGAGGGCGCCGTCGCGCCACTAACCTGGCCTAACCTCTGACACGCGCGCCCAGCTGACGCGAGCGAGGCCCTCTTGAGGCGTGTCGCGCCGTCGCGCCACCCGAGCCTGGCTAGCCCAGGGAATGTGGCTGGCTTTGCGTTTGCTCCCCGGTTCTTTTGCTGCTGCCTTTGCTGCTTTGCCACTCCGTAGCGCGAGGCGCGAGGCTCTCGAGGGGCGGCAGGAGGCTCATCAGCGGGCTTTTTGGCGTCGGCAGCCAACCCCCCAACCCCAAACCCAAAGTCTTTGCTGCTGCTGCTGCGCTGCATATGGCGCAGAGCAAGTATGGGGCCGAGCCAACTGGCTGCTGCACCGCGTGTGTGTGTCTGGGAGCGTCTGTGTGTCCAGAGGGGCGTCACAGTCTGTGTGTGATGGCGGCGCAGTGCACTTGAGGAATGTGGGGGAGAAGCAAGCAGTAGGACTCGTATGTTGTGTGCCTGGGGCTCACTCACCACTTGCGCTCCTGTTCACTCGCTCACTTTATTCACTGACTCACCCACATGACTGGGGTTGGGCGGGAATGGGAAGTCGGAGGCTCGGTATATACGCGAGTACGCAACGCCGGGTCCCGTTCCTGGTCACTCCCCCTGTAAGCGCCTCGCTCTGCTCGGGTGCCGCTGCTCCATGGCCGCTCCTCATGCTGGGGCTACCGCCTGGGCCCGGCCGCGCAGATACGAGGCGCTCGATTTGAAAGTCAGATGCTCGAAATCTCATTTGGAGCCAATGAATGTGTAATGTGTCCCTCTGGTGTAGCTAGCCGGTGTACCTGCACCGCTGCATCGATCCCTTAATCCGCGCGCTAGCCCGCAGCACCGGGCACGGGGCTCGCTCGAACACTCTTGGGATGTCAGTCTCGCTCGCACGCTACAATACGCTCTCGCTCGCGTTCGACCACCCGCGCGGGGCGCAGCGTGACGCACGCGTGACAAGCTCGTGACACAGTGTTTGCGTTTGTCTTATGCTCCATGTGTGTAGCTCTCTGCCCGACCGTTGCACCCCCCCCCCTCTTTCGCCCTCCCTCTTCCCCTCTTCCGCCCCTCCTGTTATCCCCCTCTCTTCACCCCTATCGCAAGTGGCAGGCTCAAAGGGCATCTCTTGACTATTTGCCGACGTGAAGATGATATCGTCGAAATACTTACCTCAGGTTGAAGTTTATCGAGCGAAAAATGCGCGCGCCCACTATTCACTCTCTGAGATGGTTGTGCCCAATTATTATAGTTGCGCAAAACAATCAAAACAATTTTATAACAAAAAAAAATACATGGCAGGGGGTCGGGGAGTATATATGGTATATACTTCTGGTATCTGTTTGGAGACTTGCCTTATAGGCAAGAAAAACTCACGCGGTACACTGTGTTGACACACACGACTTTCATTGTTTTCGCTTATCGTGGCGCAAGGTCGGATTCACTGCTTTCCAATCACTCCGGGAGTTTAATGTGTTTTTGTTTGTTTGGAAACACACACACACACAACTATGTTCCTTTTGATTGACCGATTACTCTGATGGGCAACTATTCCAATAATGTGCATGCATCACAGGTGTTGCAAGTTGCAAGCTAATAGCTTTTGTTCTGTTTGGCAGGGTGTGCAGGTGTTTTGGTTGGTCATCCTTTCGATACCATAAAGGTATGTGAGACGATCAAATACGTTTCTTATCACATTAATTGAGCTGTGTGGGTTCCGGCCGGCCGACCCTGAGAAACATTCGGGTTTATAAAGTGCTCTCTGAACGTGCCCTCAGGTCCGACTGCAGACGCAGGACCCGGCCCGGCCGCGCTACGCCGGCACTCTGCACTGCCTCAGGACCATGGTCGCGGAGGAGTCGGTGAGTGCAGCCCTACCACACACAGTAGCACCCCTTGCACACCTTGCGTGGCCGTCGAGGAGTGTTGTCTAACGCGTCCCGCGGGGGTTCGCCGTCGTGTGCGCAGGTGCGCGGGCTGTACAAGGGCGTCACGTCCCCGCTGGCCGGGGTGTCCCTGGTCAACGCGCTCGTCTTCGGCGTGTACGGCAACGTGCAGCGCCAGCTGGACGCGGCGTCGCCCGGCTCCTCCTCCTCCCTGGCCTGCCACGCGCTGGCCGGGGGCGCGGCGGGCGCCGTGCAGAGCGTCGCCTGCTCGCCCGTCGAGCTGGCCAAGACCCGCCTGCAGCTCCAGGCGGACGGCGCCGCCGTGCAGTACAAGGGCCCCGTCGACTGCCTCCAACAGGTGAGTTGTTTGAGAGCGTCGCGCGCGGCCTCGCCTCGGCCGAGAGAAGAAGTGTCCCAGAACATCACTTCAATGATGGGAGATGCAGATCGATAGGCTACACCTTCGTTAATGGCTGGCGTTTCAGGAATTTTCTGAACAAAGTTTCATCATTCTCACCAAACCGGGGGAAATAAATAAGGGGCGATAGTCGGCTGCACGAGAGCACGTCGTGTGGTAGTTCTGCGTCCATTGGCAAAAAGATACCCTATCGCCCAGCCGCAGTTCAGTTACTGACTTGCTGAAATTCAGTAGCGGGCGTAAGGTCGGGGTGGAAAGGGGGAGGGAAGGGGGAAGGGAAGGGGGGAGGAGGGGCGCCGTATCGTATCAGCCGCGGCGTGGCGCGGAGAGGTGCTATGTAAGTAACGGGATGGGGATGGCGTGGCGTGGCGCGGCGGCTCGGGCCGTGAACCAGCCACGAGCCGACCGCGTGGTGTGCTTACGCAGATGGGGGCGTGGGTCGGACCGCCACGCCACGCCACGAGCCGGAAGCTAGCCACTTTATTTTTTATTTTTGGGTTTTCTTCTTTATATTAGGTTTCTAACGATGAAATGACGGTTCCGTTCAGGCTGCACAAAAACTTTTCTTTTTGTTTTGCTACCAATAATTTATTTTTCGACATTTTCTAAAAAAAGATGTGTTATTGTGAGGATTTGCCAGCCATGGGTGCAATGTGGGATGTGATGAACATACTAGTAAGTGTAGTTCATATCAGACTCAGACGAGAGCCGTTGCTCAACCCAGACGAGGCGACGTTACACTGCAAAAAACGAGTCGTCGCGTCCACAGCTCGATCAGCTGATGGGTGGGGGACGGGCTGATTTTGACATGTTTTCTTCTAAAAGAAAGATAACAAACTCTGTTGCTCAGAGAAATTTTCTGTGTGTACTCAATGACCGAATAAAAGATAATAACTCCCAATATGTTGCCAGAAAGCCAGCAACTCCGTGTTTCACATTTTCAGATTTTGTATAATTTTACGTGCGGTCATTGCAGATGTTCCGAACGGAGGGGGTGCGCGGCGTCTACCGCGGCTTCTGGCCCACCCTGGCGCGCGAGGTGCCCGCCTTCTCGGTGTACTTCGCCTCCTACGAGTGGATGACGCGCGGGGACGCGCAGGTGCCCACCTGGCGGCTGCTGCTGGCCGGCGGCCTGGCGGGCACCTTCTCCTGGGTGCTCACCTACCCCGTGGACGTGGTGAAGAGCCGCGTGCAGGCGGACGGCCTCCACGGCGCCCCCCGCTACCGCGGCGCGCTGCACTGCCTGAGCGCCAGCATGGCCGCCGAGGGGCCCGGCTTTCTGTTCCGCGGCCTCAGCTCCACCATCCTCAGGGCCTTCCCGACCAACGCGGCCACCTTCGCGGTCGTGGCGTGGACCATGCGGCTGCTGCAGGACGCCGAGGACGTGGTCCAGGACGCGGTGCAGGACGTCGCCATGGTCCCCGCCGCCGTGCTGGCCGAGTGTCACCACCAGCATCCTGCCCTGCTGGACTGGATTGCCCCGCACTACCCCCTGGAGTCCTGCGAGCTATGACGGGCGAGGGGAGGGGAGGGGTTGCGCGGCGGAGGAGGGCGGTGGAGAGGAAGGGCGGGCGAGCGGGGCCGACACAGGCGCAGGTCGCTCCACCCTGCTGCGCACAGTTTTTACTCGGAACTGTCTTATTGGGTTCAAATCCCACAGGGTGCGTCGTTCGAGACGTCAGCGGTTCGCACCCGGGCCTCGCTTGTTACCGGACAGTACTATTTCAACAGCTGCGTTCTATTGCAGCATTTCAGACGTATTCTGATTTAGAAATTTTTATTTTCTCTGTGCAGTTTATGCGCTGCTTTCTGGTACCTGATTCTTTTTCGAGCTCTTCAAACAAATTTATTTTTGGCCTCGAAATGACTTCTCCACCGCTGTCTTCCCTCGGCACCTGCAGAATATACTCACTTCCCCTCTTTAAATAAAATACAAGGAGACCATTGCTTGAGTAAGTTTGTGGGTCGAGTTATTTAAGACTTAATTTATGTAACAATGCACTTTTTGAAAAAAAGAGTGCTTCAGATTCATAATTTATCCGTGTTCTGCGTATTTAAAAAAAATATTATCTATATTGTATGTACTTGTCAAGTTTGACCATCGTTTGCTCTCTGAAGTGCGTCTGTGAATAAAGCATCTTTGTAATCGGTTGCCACTTTCTATTTCCGGCTTTATGAATGACAAATACCTAAGCACCGTCTCTGCCATTATAGTTCAGGACATTTAATGCCCCGGAGCACCCCCTCCCCCTTGTCCCCTCCCCCTTCCTCTTTTCCGTCGGGTTGCGGTGACGTCCAGGCCAAGACGACGCCGCTGGCAGCCCCCGGGCAGAGGGGGTCCTGATATTCTCTTCTTGTTATCTCCTCTGTTTCCTCTCCCACCTGAGAAGCACCGACTGACACAATTTTTTTCCTCTTGAACGGTTTCCTGCTCCGCATTTCACCTTCCGCTGTTAGTGCCACAGCGCGCGACGCGGCTCCGGACGCCCTCTGTGACCTGAATGACCCAGACTTGGCTGTTTGCATAAGTGGTCGGGCGGGGCGGGGCGGGGCGGGGCGCTCTGCCAAAGCGTCTTTGACGGGGCGCCGCGCCCGGCTCGGCCCGACTGGCCGAAGGGGTGGGCAAGACGGCACTGATGGGACGAGCATTTGCATGCCATTGTCGAGGTGGACAAAGGTGGGTGGCGTCGCCGTCATCGTCAGCGCGGGCCGGCCCGCAGCGATTTGTACTCTAACCCCCATTTGAATAAGGTAGTTCAAAAGAGACATCCACAGCCGCCGAATTTGGCCGCCGCCCCCGCCAAGCAACAAACACATTCGCCAGTCCTATCACATCACAGATCACAGAGGGGGTCTGCTCTACGCCGGATACTAGCAGCGCGTGGGCATGCCAGGCGCGTTGCATCGGCGTGGGCGTCCGGCCCGGCATCCCCGGAGGCATCTCCCCAGAGTCGCCCCATCGGGACGCTCGGGGTATGGGGCGGCTTTGAGGCGCCCACATTGACGTGCTGGGGGGCCGGGCCCAGGCTTTGTGGCGGTGCGGGGGCCTCGGGGGGCCGCTGTGGGGGCGTTGGGGCGCCGACGTGGGGCGCGAGGCGGGCCGCGTCGCGGCGGTGAGGCGCGGCGACCGTGCCGACCGTGCCGGCGGATCCACGCAGGGTGGCCACCATTGTTCACCCGAGAGTGCCTACCATAGAAACCCGGCACAGTGCAGCAAGTGCGGACGATGCGGGGGTATCGCTGATAATACCAACATCGTGACATAAAAAACACATAAAATCCAAATAAAAATCGCAAACTTGGAAAAAATCAATGCGATCCTGCGATCCGTCGCCAGGGCTGCTGGCTGACCCATCGTGCGGTTCGCGCCAAAAAGCGCCACGTGCCTACTCGGCGACCAGGCCGCGCGGGCCGCGGCAGGCGGGGCGCGGGCCGGCGGGGCACATGGCTGCCGTCTGACCCACCCCGCCGTCATGGACCCCGGGGTGGGGCTCACCCAGCCGCCCCTCGCGCCAGGTAAGCGGTGGCCCGCCGTCCAGGCGTCGACGACCACTTTAACACCGTCGTCGATGGCCACCCTAACATCGTTGACGGCCACCCTATCATCGTTGACGGCCACCCTAACATCATCGACGGCCACCCTAACATCGTTGACGGCCACCCTAACATCACCGACGGCCACCCTAACCTTGCCTCCGCCCTGCTTCCCCTCACGGGGGTGGTGGGTCCGGGCCTGCCGGGTGGGGCCGGGGCCGGCCTCGCCAAGCACAAGATA